TGGGGCCTACCGGAAGCTTCTGGGCCCAGGCTCAGGGCAGCCAGGCTGCGAAGCCAGGCCAGCTCTTTTCCATATAGGAAAGAGCTCGCTGGCTGGCAGCTCATTCGGGCACTCGCATGCTGGCGGCAGCGCTGCTGGAGCTGAAGCTCGTGGGCTGCTGCTAGCGCTGAGCGGCGAGGTGCAAGCACGTGCGGTCGTGCAGAGAGCAGGGCGCTGCTAAGGGCAGCGCCATAGCCCAGCCTCCATAGCTGGCAGGCTTGGATGTACAGTGAGCCGCATGAAGTTACCTCCACGAATTGCACTGTTTGAGTCTGTTTCATTATTGGAGGTGTTTTTTTTTCCTGAGGCTCAGTCTGTGGCCTTTCCTGCTCATAGAAGTGAGCTGGTAGGCTGCCTATTTGTACCCGACACATGGGGGTATGTTGTTCTTCCATTGTGTCAGGGTACTTCACCATTCCTTTTTCCTCTCCTTGCCGTTCTTTTTTTTTACCATGCAAACTCGACAACAGATTGCCCACCTGAGGCCCTAGCAGGCCTGCCTTACCATTAGGCATGTAATGAACCCAGTCTGGAGGAAACTCGTCAAGTGTCGAAATACAGGATAACTCAGCGCTGACAGATGTGCAATGAACCTCCCAGTTCACCACCAATGAGTGCACACAATCACACACCATGCACAAATGAGATTACACGAAGTTCACATTGGAGGCCAGAGAGACAAAGACCAGGTAAGCGCAGCTTTAGAATTCCAACAAATTATCATACAAGCAATGAATTCCAGTCAGCAGCGCTCAACAACGCAGATCCAAGTAACCAGTATCTTCATTCAGGTAAGTATCTCTTTCACTGCTCTTCTCTCTCCTCTCTCAGTCTTCTCTCTGTCTACTACCTCCCTGTGTCTTCTCTCCCTACTTGCATGCACTCATACTCTTTACTACTCAAGGACCAACTTTGAATACACCCGCTGCTAACTCTACTAACCCCTCTGAAGTCTACCACTAACTACTAGGCACTGGCGCAGCTATGGCTGCCTTCCCTCTGCCAGCGCTGGGCAGCTATGGCTACTCCCTCTCTCTCCCTCTACTAGCACAGCTCCCTGGCTCAGCGCTCGGCTCCTCACAATAGCGCACAAGTGCACCAGCACTTCCACACCTCATGGGAATGAGCTATCTGCCCAAATGAGGAGGCTGGCCAGTCCTTGTATAGTCTTGGACTGAGCTTCAACTCGTCCCAGCCTCTGCTTCTTGGGGCTTGACTTGGTTCTGGTACCACGTCCTGTTTGCTTCTGAATGTCAGGGCCTGGTACTTTTCCCAAATTTTCATTGGTGAGCTGCTGCTTGCCCTGTGAGTCACGGCTTTTCAATTGTGGAATGAATCAAAGAACTAAACACGTTTCCAATACCTACGGCGGCTCCAGCTAATGCGATTGTTGCACAGCCCGCTCCAAGTAATTTTGCACCTTCTAACATAGCCATCTTCTTTTTGTTTGTATCAAAACAAAGGCCATTTATTGTTGATTACCCAAATCGCCGATTTTGTCAAAATCAATGCGGCAGAGGCTCGCCAGCACTTCCTCAACATGACTTTCGACTGTGGACTGTGACTCTTGCCTCTGGGACACGACTTCTGCTGGGGAAGGTGTCCTTTGCCCGTGGGATGTGACTTTTCAATATGACTTTTCATTATGAGACGTGACTTTTGCTTAAGGAATGCCACCTCTGCCCCTGGGATGTGACTGTTCACCGGGTGCCTGTTGGACTCAACTCCTAAGGTCCCGACTGTGACTTCTCTGAAACTGACTGACTTAGCCTCCCTGGCCTGACCCTTAAATTCGAATTTGGGGTATGAATCGTGGAAGGCCTTTCACTCTCACCGGACTAATTTCGAGGTCCTCCGAGAAAGATACCAACTTTATCTGGCTACTATGTTAATCCCTCCTCGAGCCCTTTCATAGTAAGACACAATATTCGGTGCAGTTTGGATTAGTTCTTCTCTAGTAAACCAACGATCTTCAGATGGTTGCTGATAAGCAAACCTTACCTTGTATTGTCGCTGTGGTCTACCTCTGTGTCCGGATCTGAAGATATATTCCCAAACAATCCTGTCTACGTCATATTTCCCATCCATGTCAGGGGGAATCATCGACCTACGAGTAGGAAACAGTTCATTAGTAACAAGGGTAGAAGCTTGGAAGCATGAAACACCGGATATGTATGCAAATGCGGAGGAATTTCAACAACACAGGAAGGTCCATCCACATCACCAATCACATCTAAGATCTGCCACGGTCCTCTATAGGCAGGCAATAGTTTCTGGGAGATGTTCTCCTTAGGGAGAAAGTCTTTGGACTTTACCCAGACTAGATCTCCCACAGCAAACTGCGAGGGTCTATGATGTTTATTCGCTTGCTCTACCATCTGATGTTGTGCATTAGCTATGCTCTCTTTGACTTTCCCCATATCTTCCTGATACTGCAGAACAAATTCTCTAGTTCTCGGTGGAAACCTCTGTATCTAATAAGGATTTAGACAGTCTATGGGTCTACGAGAGCGCCATCCCAAATGCAATTCGGAAGGTGTTCTGGAAGTAGATGGATGTATAGAATTGTTATAGGCACTAGCAACTTTGGGCAGGTGTTCATCCCAGTCAATCTGATCTGGTCGGATGTAAATTCGCAGTGTTTGCTGCAACAACTTGTTCATTTGCTCGGTCTGTCCGTTAATCTCATGATGTCTACCTGAGGACACATTTAACTTGGATCCGTAGACTTTCATAAGTTGCTGCCATTGTTCACCTGTGAACCGAGTATCTCTGTCACTAACAATGGTTAAGGGATGCCCAAAATCCTTCACCCAATGATTAAATAACTCCTTCATCACTAGGTCAGTCTTTGCTTCTTCAGGGAGTGGAATAAACACAGCAAACTTGCTAAGCCGGTCTACCACAACCATAACTTGCCTCTTGCCGTTTCTGCTTCTTATCTTGGTGTCCATAAAGTTGATAACACGGAATCCCCGGGTCCCGACGGAATAGGCAGCAGTTTGAGTAATCCAAGGGGAGACGGTGTGGAGCTCTTGTTCCTCTAACACACCTGACAGCCTTGTACGTAGAAAATGCAATTATGCTTCATTCTCGGTCGCGCGTAGGAGCGTAGGAGATTAACATAAGTCTTCCTCCATCCGAAATGCCCCTCGGTGTCATGGTTTTCCCCAAGTATGATGCTGCGAATTTCTTCGCTGTTCGGGACGCATAACCGATCATGGACGTCTGTTTTCTCAAACAACAGTCCCTGTGTCACCCTATAGTGCGGGACTTCGTGTGGTGCAGTCTGCACTTTGTGAATAAGCTGGCTATAAACTAGATCACTCGCATAGGCAGACTTAATTTTCTCTTGCAGTTCGGTGCTTGCATCTAAATACGTCACAATGGCACCGAAGAAGTCAAATCTCCTACTTAGTGCGTCAGCGACCACGTTATGCTTCCCCTTGACTGGCTTCAACTCGAAGTCAAACTGATCAATCTCAGCGGCCCACCTAGTCAATTTAGGTGTCATACGGGCCTGCGTTTTAAGCCAACGGAATGTCTCATGATTTGAGTACACCTTGAAGTGGCGTCCTAGTAGATAGTGTCGCCAGTGACTCAGAGCTTCCTGGAAAGCAAACAACTCTCTTTCGTACGTGGAAGCGGCGACCTTCTCACTAGGTAGTCGGCAGGACAAATATTCACTGGCTTGTATCCCTTGCCATCATCTTGCTGGAGTACGGCCCCTATCCCGTATTGACTGGCGTCAATTGTCACTATGAAAGGCAATGATGGATCTGCGACTTTCAATACCTTGTAGTTAATCAGACATTTCTTCGGACGCTTAAAGGACAAAGTGCAATTTTAATCCCATTCGAGACAATTTTTTCTTCAGCAATCTGCGCAATGGGGCAGCGATTACCGCAAAGTTCTGAACGAACTTGCGGTAATAGTTTGGCCAAACCAAAAAACGACCGCAGTTCCGTCAATGTGTGCGGGTTAGGCCAATCTCTAATGGCTGCAATCTTGGCGTCTTCCGCCTTGATCCCATCACCATCTACCATATGTCCCAAGTACAAAACCATACGCTTTGCCCACTCACACTTCTTCCACTAGCGGTTAATGGAAGGCCAAAAATTTGGGGTTTTTCGCGGCGTCGCTACAAGCAATGTTGTCGAAACTTTTGCGAACAAACTATGCAGGGTCATAATACAAACATAAAAAAAACAGTCAGGCAAAAAAAAAACGAAAAAATCAAACTCAAGAGCACTATAAATCCCTATTCAGAGTAACTTTCGGAGTTCGCCAAAGTTTTTTTCGAGTTTGCTGTTTTTGCTAAGTTTTTTGTTACTGCTTCAAATACGGCGAAACTGAATACAGGTATACCCTAAAGCACATATAACAGGCAAAAAGAAAAACTGAGAAAAGAGTAAAAATTCAGGGAAATATGACAGTTTCGGTGAAAAATTCGCCAAAATTCGGCGAATTTTGGGCCTTCCATTAACCGCCTCTCACTTCTTCGGGTTCATCTTCAACTTCGCCTCACGCAACTTATTTAGCACAACTGGAAGGTGTTCCTCATGCTCACTTAAATTCTTACTAAAGATCAATATATCATCTAAATAATCAACGACAAATTTATCAAGCCAGTCACCAAACAAGTCATTCATACATCTTTGGAAGGTTGCAGGCGCATTAGTCAAACCAAACAGCATTACAACAAAATCGTGGTGTCTGTACCTAGTCCGGAAAGTCGTCTTATGTTGGTCTTCTGACTCTACCTCAATCTAATGGTAGCCAGATTTCAAGTCAGTTTTCGAGAAGTACTTGCAACCTTGCACCCTATCCAATAGGTCGTCTATCCTAGGCAACGACTCTGCATTTTTCACAGGTATAGCATTAAGTCACCTGTAGTCTATGCACATGCGCAATTCGCCGCATTTCTTTGGCACAAACAACACCAGGGAATCCCAATGGTGAGGAATTTGGTTTAATCCACCCTTTCTCTAACAACTCATCTATTGCTTCCGCAGTTTGTCCAACTCTTTGGGAGACATTCTATAAATTGGGCCCTTGAGTATCTTGCTACTGGGTTCAAGATCGATTCGGTGCTCGGTTTCTCTCTTGACCACTCCACTTGGGGTTTCTCCCACATCTGCAAACTCACTTAGCAGTTTTTTGTATTTCGGAGGGAAGGGGGTTTATCTTTCTTTCTTCTTCACTCATCGGGCGCACATACACCACAAATACCTAATCTGCAAGACCATTCTTGGCCACATGCCGGGCAAATGCAGGGGCACTCATGCAACAATGGGCTAAGCTACTCTCTGCACCGGATGCATGAAACAAACGTACCTTCTTTTTCCCACCTTAGGGACTGGGGAGATAACACTCATGCTCACCCAGTTCGATGTCTGCATCCGTGGCTTCTCCCCAGTCAGTTCCTAATATCAGGTCAAAAGGGAGACTGTCCTCGACTAAGAGTGTCAGGGAGTGCAGAATGCGTTTCATCTTACCCCTGGCCTCCAACCGAAAGTATGCCCTAACCCCTTCGACATAACTATCTACAATCATTTCCTTATTGCCTGCTAACTTACTCACGACGACTGGTCTAACTTCTGGGCCTTCAGCCCTAGGCACATTTTTTGTAGCCCTTTCTTGCTAATATAGTTGCGCGTGGACCACTATCTATTAACGTGCCCACTCTTGCTTTACTGACCTCTACATCTGCAATTAGTAACTGCCCTGTTTTCTTCTTCATCTGAGAGGCGGTTAATGGAAGGTCCAAAATTCGCTGAATTTTGACGAATTTTTCACCGAAACTGTCATATTTCCCTGAATTTTTACTCTTTTCTCAGTTTTTCTTTTTGCCTGTTATTTGGCGAACTCCGAAAGCTACTCTGAATAGGGATTTATAGTGCTCTTGAGTTTGATTTCTTCGTTTTTTTTTTGCCTGACTGGTTTTTTGATGTTTGTATTACGACCCTGCATAGTTTGTTCGCAAAAGTTTTGACAACATTGCTTGTAGCGACGCCGCGAAAAACCCCGAAATTTTGGCCTTCCATTAACCGCTAGTGGTTCATCTCAGCCCAAGCGTGGCGATGAGTGATCAGTTCATCACCTATGCTTGCGAGGGAACCACCTAGAGAGGTTCTGACACAAGCAACATCCGGGCAGCTAACTAGGTGGGGGCCAACTACCATCTAAGTCTCTGCCATTTGGACCTCTGGATCGGAGGAGGACAGTTTGCTTGCATCCAGAGTCCATGTAGAAGCAATTGCTACCTCTACTGGCGGTTCCCTTTTGGGTACCGATATCTGGGACAGAAGGGAACAATGAGGTCGGGGTCACCACACTTGAAACACTGGCCGACTGCCTTACGCTCATCCCATGTCTTCTCGTAAATCCCCATTTGTTCCCAAGGTTTGCCTATAGCGATCCCGGGATTGGGTGAATATGGCCTCCAGTTATTGTATACTCTTCCTCTACCCCTTGTGGAGTTGGAACCTCTACCACCTTGCGAGGGACCATTTCCCGTGTAGTAGCTACCTTCGCCACTACCCCTCTGGGCAGCGGGTCCTCTTCCTCCACCACGGCCTTGACCTCCTCTTCCTCTTCCACGGCCTCTTCCTCCTTGTCGCCCTCCCCCACGGGCTGCAACAGCCGCATAGTCCCCTCCGTGGGCTAAGTGACTATTGCTATCATCGTCTAAACCGTAGTCTATATGGTTGTAGGTGGGTGATTCTACCCCTCCTTCTTCGAAGTTGACCAGAAGATTGTCTTTTTCGGCTATGTTTCCTGAGATCGTGCGATCTCTCCATCACTTCCCTGCCCGAAGATCTTTCCAATAATGGCAATACTGTGCCTCCTGCAAGAAACCAGCATGATCGACTGCAATCTTGCTGAACTTTTCATGAGTCGTTTCTTCTTCTTTAGTATGGGGATATAGTTGGGTCCTTAATGGATCTGGGAGTGCTCTGGCAAAGTTGTTCAGAATCTGCGTGGGTGTCAATCCATGGTCCGAACACTGCAAAAGCTCATCGATAGTGGCTTTGAGTGTTGACACACTCTTCAACTTACGATCACCAATGTTCAGGATCAAGGACTCAATCCTACGGGCCAGGTTCTTGTCTTCGAACCTTTCTCTATGGGCTCTAAAAAATTCTTCGATCTGTGTCTGTTGTGAGTACTGGACCATGGTCGTACAGCCATTCTCCTTCATCAAGGAGATGGCGAAACTCATCGCATCACCGCTAAACACGAACTAGCCATTAGCACGCGGTTCCAATACGGGATCTTTTGCGCGTACAAGTAGGTATCCATTGCAACTTCCCAGTGGAATATGCTCTCCTCTTTCTTCCCCATATAAGCCCAAGGCAACTTCACCTTCATCTTCTGCCTGGACTCCTCCACTTCATTGTCCTTCTCCTTTTTGGGACCCCTTCCTTTTCTGTCCCCATCATCACCATCATCACCTCCATCTCCTCCCCCACCACCAATCTTCAACTTCCTTACTACGGCGGGGTCGGATAACCTTTGGCAGAGGGCTTCATCTAATTGTTCAATATACTCGAATATGCGGTGATCAATTTGTTCCGAGGCACTACGCAGGAAGTTATTCCAGGTTCCCTCGAACTCTCTGTGATGGAATTCTAGTTTGCTGATGGATCGATGGAGGGCCACGAGTTCCTCGTTAGTATGGAGGAAAGTGTCAGTTAGGAGGGCTAATCATTCGTCTGTGGCAGCTTGCTTACTCTTTTGCTCCTTCAACACTGCTTGGAACCTCTTCCCCTCCTCCTTCTTCCTCTTCTTTTTATTATATTCCTGCCTTTTTGTCGACACCATCTTATTATTAAATTTTGCTTTCTTCTCAACCAACAATAAATTTATTTCTGCCTCATCTGCTACTGAGGCCATCTTTATGACAAACGCAATTTTCTCTTCCTCCGTTTCTTTTGGGAACTCCATCTGGTAACCAAATTGACCCATCCAATCCATCGCCTCCAATTGTTGCATACAAATAGCCCCTGCTTGGCTGCTCTCAGGTTTTTCCTTCTGCGGCTGCGTCCTTCTTCTTTCCATCTTTTCTCCCACATCTTCTTCTTCTTCTTCTTCTTCTTCTTCTTCTTCTTCTTCTTCTTCTTCTTTCAATTCCTCCATCAACTTCCTTTCTTTCTCTTTCATCTCCTTCTCCATATGCTGCTTCTCTGCCTGCAGCTTTCTCTTTACTTCCTCCTCCTTCTTCCTTTTCTTTTCCTCCTCCTTCTCTAAGGCTAGCCGACGGTCAATTTCTGCCTGCTCCTCGACTGTATGCGACT